CATCACTTGGAGGCTCCAGTGAGCTGACGGACACAGACGAAGGCTCAGCCCCAGCCCTCTTTGGACTTTGGTCCCACTGCGTCTTGGCCAAGAATCAACTTGTGTCTTCCACATCAGCCACCCCTGAGAGCACAACCGCAGCCGTAACTGCAGCAGCAGTGCCACGAAGGACCCCCGAGTTCAGTTTACTTTCTACACGGTTATAAATTCTGTTCAGACAACGGCAGCCGCCTCAGATTTTAGCGCCCATCTGTACCACTTGCTGCCCTGCAGATACCTGCTGTAGAAGCAGCTCTCTTAAACAAGCGATTCTCAGCTTCGGCTGAAGCCTTTCACGCACACCGGCGCCGGGATGCACCGACGGCCGCCCATGGGGGCACCGCGGGGCTGCGCCGGAGCCGCACCGCCACCTCCCGGCACGCGTGTGGATAAGAAGGAACTTCTCCAAAGGGAGCTGAACAAGCCGATAGAAGTACGTACACACGTGCTTCTCTTACCAGCCAAAGCGAAAGGGGATGAAGTCCTGTTGAAGAGCCCGGACTGCACCCGCCCCTCCCCGACTCTTAAGATGAGGACTTTATGTTAGGCAAACATCTAGAAAAACTGCCTTGAATCCCATGTTTTGCTTCCCACCAAACACATCAATTCATTCTTAGGGCTGTCTGACACGAGTGGCCCATTACCACTGTCCTGCATTCAGGATTTCTTCCACACGACCAAAATGCCATCCTCGTGTTGGCAGAGCTGGGGGAGGAAACACACACAGAGCTGCGGGACTCCCAGACGTGTTAACTCCAAACCAGCAATTAGAGCTGTATAGCAAAGACACACAGAGACAGGAGCACTGCCTAATGCCACCTGTGCATTCCAATGGGGGTCAGAGAAAATAGTTAGCAGCAGTAACTGATGTACAGTGTTTACACTCAGTGTAATACAGCACTTTAGGGATCTAAAAGTGCGCTGAAATATTCCAACTAACAGCTCAGAAAACATCATCAGGATTTTAAGTTCTGACAGCTCACAGGGAAGAGCCCAACCCAGTGCTGAGCATAACACAGCACTCACTGCTGGCAGCAGTGCTGCCCTACCATCACTCACCTCCTCCAGCCGCAAAGGACAGCAGCTCAGCTCCTGCAAGAGCCAATTCCTTCCAAAGACAGGCAGGACACCTTGCAGGAAAACCTTCTGTGCAACAGTTTGGTTTTGAAATATCTATAGAAACATTTGGGAAAAGAAGTTCTTTAGGTAGAACCATAGAATGGCCTGGGTTGAAAAGGAGCACAATGCTCATCCAGTTCCAACCCCCTGCTATGTGCAGGTCGCCAACCAGCAGCCCAGGCTGCCCAGAGCCACATCCAGCCTGGCCTTGAATGCCTGCAGGGATGGGGCATCCACAGCCTCCTTGGGCAACCTGTTCCAGTGCCTCACCACCCTCTGGCTGAAAAACTTCCTCCTAATATCTAACCTAAATCTCCATTGTCTCAGTTTAAAACCATTCCCCCTTGTCCTATCACCATCCACCCTCCGCTATCAAACTAAATCTAGTCCAAGCCCAAGTTCCAAAGTTATAACAGACCTTAGTCTGAAATCCAACAACATCACAAGCTCCTACAGCTGCTATCCATCAGTTCCATAACCACATAACACTTCATACCAACTGAAATGCACCAGCCTCAGTTACTCTGCAGCACACGCCGACATCTCAGTGGGCACAATAGCACACACAGAGCAACACGCTGAAAACAGTCTTCAAGCATTATTTTCAAGGGAGACTGGACAGAGATCAATTTGAGAACAACTCTTACAAAGCACCAAGCCCTGCTCCAGTGTAATTTACCATTGTTCCATTCGAGTGAACAGAAATAATTTGCACCAGTTCAGAGCCAGCCCATAAAACGTGTGTATTTGCAACATGCTTTAAACGAACAACAGCAGCATGGTTGTTAGAAAAAAGCACAGAATTATGGAATTGTGAGCAGTGTACCGAGAGAAACAAGGTCACTGCCTGCTTACTTGAGATGTGGTTATACGAATTTGACCTTTCTGTAATAAGTGGTAATTTCATCGAAAACAACCTTTCAGAGGAGAAGGAAAACAAGTAAGTTATGTATCCTGCAGCTGCAGTTCATGATGAGACTCCCAGCCCTAATTTAAAGGTCACCAGCAAGACTTTGAAAGTGAGATTGCTCTCCATTTTTCCATATTTCATACAATGTCATTGGGGTGAGTGGTCCATAACAGCAATGCTGCACAACTGCCAGGCCAAGGTTTCAAGCTTCCCCTCACAGCTTACCATCTCATTAGGCCTGCCAGCATCAAGAACAACACTGGGATAAATAATTACCTTACTAATGTGTGTCACAGCATCTCTAGCAGCACTGCACTCTGATAACAAGCTGAGCAGCTGAGGATCTCCCTACACCAGCTCTGCAAACAGGTTGGGTTGGACAGCCAGCTCTCACCTCCCCATCCCTGCAGTGCCTCCACAAACTGAACTGAGACAATAAAACAGCACAAGGCAGCAAAAAAAGAGGACTTCATTTAAAAAAGAACACAGCAGCAGTGAGCGAGGGCAGGCTTTGTCTTCATTGGCAAATGAATGTAATGCATTGCCAGCCACACAATCAGAGAAACAGCCAACAGCAAGAAGCATTTTGAGACATTGGGAGGAAAGATGAAAAGCCACATAACAATGTCATATTAGGGAAATACTGTTGTTAAACACAGTACCCCAAACATAGCCATCAGCTACTACAGTGCAGATGCTGTCAGTCCAAGCAGTGCTTGTGAGGAAGATGCTGACTCCAGCATCATCCATGGGACAGCCTAACCAAGTCTCTTTTTCTTTGCTTCCCCAAACTCATTTAAACAACCAAGTGTAATTAAAGTCAGGTAATGCTAACCTAAAATCAGAGCAGGCTTCTTCCATAGCCATTCAACAGCTTTTCAGACAGGAACAATGTTTGGTCCTCACCTTTGCCTACTCAGCAGTTTGTGATGTGGGCTGTGTGCTTCACAGAGGCCTGTGTGAAAGGCAGGATCAAGGATGCTCACTGGTGGATTCCTAAAATGGAACCTCCTACATGGAAACTCCCCAGGATCCTCGCATTTATAGCTTGAGATTTTATTTCTATGTCTGGAAATCTCACTGTTAGATCCTTAACAGAGCCAGAGAACACCCATGGGGAACATTAATAGCTGGTGCTGGAGCCTGGATGAATGCAAGGAGTTGTTATTGCATTCACCCCAACCTGCAGGATTTCTTCAAACACCCCCAGTAAAACTCTCTCCCAGGAAGAGACTGAAGTGAGTCCAGCAGCCAGCCTGGCTTTTTTGGCCAGAGCTATTTCTTCTACAAAGGAAACACCAGCGAGTCGCTCTCAGTACCTGCATTTGCCCATTTTCACACCTAAGGCACTTGCACCTAAAGGGAACACCTGAAAACCTCAGGTTTAGGGTCACAGCAACAAGAAAAAAACTGAAGCCCTGGAAAAAAACCAACCCACCACAGCTTTAGCATTCATAGGAAATATTACAGTGCCCTGGTCCAGCAAAAGCTGATTGTGAACTTTTTATTAAAGTTTAGAAATGCCAGGAGAGGAAGAATCCAACTACAAACCTCCTTTCAAGAAAAACAGGACTGCTACTTCCACGTAGCCAACATTACAATAAGCAGGGATGACAGCAAGCTGGAGATGATCTGGACACACAATCCAGTGGTGTTGTTTCAGCTGCGCACTGCGGATGGTTACGACCAGCAATGCTGACCTTATCAAACTGCTCCTCTCTGCTCCTCTCCTGCACTCAGAGCTGCTGCACCTGCTCACTGAAACAGGAGGGGCAAAGCAATTTGCCCAAGAGCAGAGGTACAGAGAACTCAGTGCTGGAAGCACGTCCAGCTTCTCAGGGAAACAGCCATTCATCCGTCTGTGCGTATCCCAGAGAATGTCCGTGCAAAGAATACACCTGTTTCTCTGGCTTGACCCTCATATCGCTTCTGAACCCATCCAGTTACCTGCTTCAGGAAAGACCAAGTTATGTATTATTTAGATTCCGCTCCTTAGTTTTGCAGCCTTATATTTTCCATAGGGAAAACGACTAAGAAAAGCAACATTATGAAACTGGCTACTAAGAGCAAGGTGATGCCTGAACAGACTACCTTCAAAGTTCTGTACAAAACCCAGACGTGCTGCTCAGTCACAACTTCCCTATCTAGTGCCTTTATTTCTGCCTTGCAGCCATCATTTGAGAGCAGGACTTCACTGCCTGCATCCACGGTCCCAGCCCTGAGCTGCAGAGGAGCTCAGCACAGAAACGAGCGGCTGAGGCAGGAGCTGAGATGACACCTGCAGCCTCACACACACAGCTCCACATCACCTCTTTCTTCTTTTCCATTCTTCCTTTAGACGGAACATTTAGATAGTGTTAAGCACCCAGTCTCTGAGATAAATTGCATCTAAAGGTTACGGTGCAAAACTGGATATCTTAGTCCTACAGAAGATCACTTACTAATTGCCCCAGATACGAACGCTCATAAATTTGTTCATACACCTTGACAAAGGGAATTGATTTACCATCACAGTGAAATACTGCATTAAACACACATAATTCTTTCTTCATACTGCTCCTCCCCTCTTAAAAGCGTTGTTTCACTGCCTGTCATTCTGAATTATTCTTCTTTAATCAGAAATCTCAGTGATTTATTGAGCCGTTCTGCACATACAGCTAACATTCATCTATACTCTTACTCTAATTTCAACCTAATGTGTTCTGTTGTCATACCAACGTAAGGAAGTTATGGATTTCATTTAAAGCCAAGTACAGTTCTGGAGCACTAAGATAAGATAAGGGACATTTTTATTCTTTTGCAACATATTTTTCAACAATACAAATTTTTTAAAAAGACTTCAAAACACCGTATTTCTGAGAGCATAAATATTATGGAATCAGCACTTTGACACCTGGTAAGATATTAACCAAACATTACTTTAAAAAATAAAACAAAAACCCCAAACCAGCATTTTTCTTACTGTCAAACCCTTTAACAAAGAAAACACTGCAGACCAAGACACCACACAGGACAGGGGCTGGAAGGATTTGTCCCACGATCCATCACGGAGATAAAAACGTTCATTTCTTACCCAGCCCTCCACTCACAGCCCAGCAGCTTTCATCAGCCCCAGCCCATGTGTGTTTGTAGCTGGGTTCCATCCCAGCCGCTCTCAGGAGATACCAACCAGCACAACGAAACCTGATTAACATCACAGCCTTGGAGTGCATTGAGTTCCTCACTCACTCAGTACAAGAACCTCTGTGTGCTCATCTTCTCAGCTTGGAGGACCAGTGTTTGCCAAGACCAAGCTGTACAGTTTCCTCTACGCCTGCACTGATTTGGGTTTCATGCAGACTGGAAATATGGCTGATGCACAACACGTGTGTCTGAAACCAGCACAACACCACAGAATTAGTGGTAAACCACCAGAAAGAACCACTCCAACACAGATATTTGCGTAGCCAGCAGTCCACATTAACATGATGAACAACCTGACTTCTCAATCAAAATTAACACTGCGTAACACTCATCCACACAAACTACCTTGTGTGTGATAATGCAGGATGTACTGTTTGATAACGTTATCTATCAGTGGACCACACACTCCATCCCATGCCCAAACACCCTACAGAACATTTATGTTCTGCCACTCTGAGGTTTGGAGCCCAACAGCAGTAGATGGCAGGTGTCGAATCAAAGTGCTTTTCGGCTGTTCTGCATCACCAACAGCCTTTAAAACTTGACAGTTTGTAACGCAGTGAACAAACCCTACCAGATGTGCGCTTTACCCGCAGAACCGAGACCACGTGGTGAAACAACCCAACGCCTCCACGTGCGGACAGCAGCCTGCGAACTTCGCCGCCCTCAGCACGGCGCTGCTCTGCCCCACCTCACGGGACGCGGATTTTTTGTGCTGCCCTCCGTGCGGATCAGCATTGCGACAGACACAGCGTGCACCAACAGAAGGTGCCTGCACAGCTGATGGAGACGCTTACCAGAAAACAAGCTCAAATCAAAGGAAAGCGCACAGCTGAGCTGAGGAGAGCGGCACGGAGATGCGACCACAAACAGAGCGGTTAAAGAAACCCTAAGATGAGCAGAGAAGGGAGAGAAGCAGCCGAGCGGGCACGGACACGAGACCAGAGCCCCTCTGCTGTTGGCGCTCCATGCCACGTTCCTGAGAAAAATCACTCCTGCACAGCTAGCGGTTAAACACCCATAAATGAGCTCGGAACGACAAACCGCCATCAGAACGGGAGCACGGACCGACGGACCGCCCCGCACACGCAGCAGCTCCAGCCCACGTGGCGGCACCGCCACGCCCCCAAGATGGCGCCCTCCTCCCGCGCCACGCCCACAAGGCTCCCAAAGCGCCTGCGCGGTGCCACATCCTCTCAACCAATGGCGGAGCGACCGCGATCCGGGCAGCCAATCGGCGCGGGGCGAGGGCGGGACTACGACATGGCGGCCGGGCGGGACGTGAGCGGCGGGCTGGAGCCCGTGGCCGTGACGCTGTGGCCGCCCGGGGAAAGTCCGGCGCCGTTCCAGGTAGGTGGGGCGCGTCGGCAGGGCGACGGAACGCGGCGCTGAGCTCGCTCACCCGCGGGGGGCGTCGGTGTCACCGAGCCGCGCGTCCGCCATCCTTCCGACGCGGGCGGCCGTTCGGAGAGCCGTGGCGGGCTCTGAGCGCCGCTCTCCCCGCAGTACAGCCCGGACTGCGTGCCTGGGGCGGACGGCGCCATCGACCCCACCGAGGTGACCTTCCAGGGCTGCCCGTGCCGCGCCCGCTCCTGCAGCGCCCGCTCCTGCCCGTGCGTGTGGCTCGGACGGCGCGGCCGCGTCCTGCGTTGCGCCGCGCCGCTCTTGGAGTGCAACGCCATGTGCCGCTGCGGGGACGGCTGTCGGAACAGGGTCGTGCAGAGGGGCCTGCGGGTCCGGCTCCAGGTGTTCAAGACGGCTAAGAAAGGCTGGGGCGTCCGCGCTCTGGAGCCTATAGCCGAGGGGAGCTTTGTCTGCGAGTACGCCGGGGAAGTTTTGGGCTTCGCTGAGGCACGCAGGAGGAGCCGCGCCCAGACGGCCCGGGATCCCAACTACATCATAGCCGTGCGGGAGCACCTCCACGACGGGCGGCTGATGGAGACCTTCGTTGACCCCACGTACGTCGGGAACGTGGGCCGGTTCCTCAATCACTCCTGTGAACCCAACTTAGTGATGGTGCCCGTCCGAGTTGACTCCATGGTGCCCAGGCTGGCGCTTTTCGCTGCCGCCGATATTTCTGCTGGAGAGGAGCTTTGCTACGATTATTCTGGGAGGTTCCGTAACTTACCGCCAACTGAGGGGGAACAAAAAGCTGCAGAAGAAGGCAACGTGCTGAGGAAGCCGTGCTTCTGTGGGTCCCAAACCTGTGCTGCCTTCCTGCCCTGGGACGGCTCCCTGTTCCCCGCTGCAGACACACAATTGCAGAGCTCCCAGTGGCTCCCTGGCCATACATAACGATGCCCTTTTCTCCAGCAGTTAAAGTGCACGTAGATCAAACTCTGCAGACAGCAAAGAAGCATGCGAGGCTTCGAGTTACAGCTGAAAACATGAGATTTTGAGACCACCTTTGTGCAGCATCCCAGAGGCTGTTTGCAAGGCGGTTGATAAGAAGGAGCACCAGAGCTTCAGGGTGTTCCAGTCTCAATTGCTGATCCAGGATTGGTGCTTTCTTCTTGTTTTCAGCTGACAGCTTACCCTGTGTTAATAAATTATGTCTTTAATTTGTACTAAAGCTTTCAGAAAGAATGAGCACTAACGCAGGTATGGAGAAGGGAGTTGTGGTAACAGCAGCAGACAGCTCTGGGAATCACACAGAGGAGTGAGAGAGACAAAGGAATGCTGGAATTTGCAATAAGAGGCATTAGGTGTCTTAAATCTTGTTGTAAGAAATAAATCTTTAAAACGAGTTGCTACAATTCTCTTGTTCCACCAACCACAATTCCTACAGATGTTAAAAACCTGCCCCAAATGACTAACTTAAATGCTTCCCACCTGCTTTTCCTCTTCCAGTCACATGAAACAGCTTGACAAAATTCCTCATTAAGGGACTGGTTCCATTTTGTTATTGTTTAGCTTCTGTGCAGAGTGCACAGAAGGCTCATGGATGTGGTTTAGATAGATGGGATGATTGCACTTCTTTCTCGAGGCTCATCTGCTGTGATTTCTGCAATAATAGCAAGCATTGCTTCTGCGTTACTTCCTAGCACTGTAATTTTGTGCTTAAAAAGTAAATTCAGAGCACAGTCCAAAGCAGCATGGCACTGCTGTTCTGGCTTCTGAGATGGATTAAAGTTGGAAAGTGAAGCACATCTGAAAACAACAGACTGAGAAGTTAGAAGCTTTTGTTTTGTTTTCTCTGTTTCTACGGGAGGCAAACAGAACAAGGCAGCGCCTACCTCCTGCAGCAACGAAATAATTATTGCATCTTCTTTTTGTTATCCTTGTACAGAGATGCACACACGTGCTGCTGTGCACGGCCTCCCTGCGGCGCTGCAGGAGAGCAGCTGGGCAGCGTTCTGTAGCTGCACTTCTGTCACTGCAGAGGGCTCCCACAGGAACGCAGCTGCTGTGAAAGGTACCATTCCCACACAGCGTGGGCAGCAGCTTGATTTCCTCTGGGCTGATTCTACAGAAGTGTGTGGTTCTGTGACTCAATGCACGCTTCACTAGGAACCAGAACACAGCTTAGACTGCAAGATTTCTCGTCATGTTTAGGGGCTTATCTACTTTTCTTCTCCCCAAGGGCATCGTGGCAGCCACCCAGACAGGAGATGTGGGAGTAGATGATCCAATCTGCTTCCTCTTTTCCTCCTGGAAAAAGTTTCAAGATAGGGTTTGTCTCCTATATTCCTGTTCCTGAAGATTAGATGGGTTTTCAAGATGACAGCACTGTGTGTTAGCTTCCTGTTATGAATATATACTTGGCTTGATGTTGAGTAGTTAAGGAAGTGTAAATTCAAAACCCAGAACAGAGAAGCACATTAACAATACCTGCTCCTTGCACCAGCAGCCTTAAATCAGAGCTCACTGCCGTCTGCCCCTGCAGTCCTACCCGCCCAGCCCCCACCCATGCTGCTGTTTCTAACAAGTGAGCTGAGCACATTACTTAGCCAAAACAAACTTCCACCCACAGAGCAACAAGGAACTGCTGGGCTGTTAGAAACAACCACACTAAAGGCCCAGCAAGAACGTGAAATAATTTGCTGCTGTTAAACCATAAGGCATCATAGCACACCTTTTTGTAAACAGCAGGGCTATTAGCATTGGACTAAAGGCTGTGGACTGAAATCCTAAACATGCCCTAGCAAGGAACTGAAAAAAAAATTGATATGAAGTTGTTTTTAAACAGCAAAGTGAACTTTCCACTATGCAGAACTGTATACAGTTTTGGTTTTGTTTGTTTTACTCCAAGGCATTTTTCCAGAATAAAAACCAAAAGCAACTCCGCAGAATCTTTACCAAGTGTATTTCTTCTCAAGGCAGAATTATGCCTTTTAAAAAGGGGAATCAATTTTATTAAGAGTAACAAGAAAAGATGTTTCTAATACACAGATTTAAAACATTTAATGCTGGTAAAATGACCTTAGCATACAAAATATTTGCCACAGAATCCTAGCATTCACCATGCTGACACGTTCTGGAATGATTTCTTCCACTGCTCGCATGACTTTCCTACTGCCCCAGAGGCTGATGCTCAGGGAAGGGCTCCCCTGATGCTCTCCCAGTGCCTCCCAGCATGGAACACCAAGTGGAGAGGGAGCTGGCAGGGCACGGGTTTGTATTCACCTCAGTCTGCATTGACCCGCACCTACTTTACTGCAAAGAAAACACTGCTGGGAAAGAGCGTCATCAATGCGAAAATTCTGTTAATCCATCACATTTTTCACTGTTATCTCTGAGAGCATCTGACAAGACTGCCGAGTTCAATCCATTTAACACAGGCACTCACACAGCCTGATAGAGGTCAGCACCACTGCTGCATAACAGGTCCAGGAGGACAGCCGTGCTGGGGCAGAGCTGACAGCACAGACATTCCCTGTGAAGGCTCCAGTTAACAAGCACAGCTCTGCTGTAGCAGTGGTAGTTGAGAACACTTTGTGACAGGGCTGAAATATATTCAGATCCCAAAATGAGGTAGCTCTCAGTATACCCCCTTCTCCTTGCTGTCATTATTCTTTTAAGCAAGGAGGGGTTGGTTTTTTGGGGTGTTTGTTTTGTATTGGGGAACAGACAACAGCTTCTTAATTTGCCTTAATAGACTTTGTGGCCTGTAGCTCCATTTGCCATATTTTGACTTGAATGAATTCTGTTCTAGCAGTCATTCATTAGCCTCAGTTTCTAATGCCATATTGGCAGCTTGGAAGTTCTGAAAGTAAGCCTACAACCCAGCCAGGAGAAATTCAAAGCAAGTTACCAGTATTTTTCCACCAGTGAAAGTTTTCAGCATGAAGAAATGCTTGATATTTTATTCAAATACATACATTTCTAATCCTCACAGTGATGATTATCCCCACCCCCAGTTGCAAAAGGCACTTCTTCCTACAGAGCAGTTGCACTGCGGCAGAAAAAGCACACTGCTGGATTTGATTTTCACTGCCATTAGAATGCAATACACCAGCTGCACTAACTGCCCCTGTGTTGTCTTCTAAATGGTAAGTATGCCTCCTACAAGGTTATGGAAGCAGTAAGAGCTTCAGATTTCTTTTAAAGCTATTCAGGACCCTATGAAATCCTCGTTTATCAGATCTGAGAGTGGAGATTCAAACGATACATAAATACATTTGATTATTAAAGAACTTTTCCAAAGAATCTACTAAATAAAGTTAACATTTTAAAACACTGTCAACATGTTTCTGCTCACGTTTGTGCTTGTGTAACTCCAGGCTACTCCCACTGAAAGCAGCACCTCTAAGAAGCTTGGTCATGAAGAAAGTCCAGGCCAGGTTCCCCAAACAAAGGCACACAGAGCTTCAAGCAGTGTTGGTGAGTGCTGGAATTTTCCTGTCCAACAGGAACTTTAAGCACAAGATTTTCCCTTCTCATCAGCAGGTAACACTGCATACATCGTCCCTGAATTCAGTGCAGCCCATCTGGTCACTGTGGGTCTGGCAAGGCATCTGCTGCACAGCGAAACCCCAGATTTGAAGCTGAGCTATCAGGGGTGTTTTGGCTGCGGGCTGCACAACGATACCTGTAGCAATAAGACTAGAGAGAAAGAAGGACAAAGATCACTTCAGAGCCTGTCTCATCTTGTGTTACTTCAGGCAAAAGCTTGTTAAGAGTGATAGAGCAAATCATTTCAAATGCAGCTGGGAGGACCAGTGAACCAATGCAGGTCGATGTCACCGTGCTAGAAAGAAAGTAAATATCAACATAGTGAGAGCAATTGCAGCAGATACAAGAACTAGTTTGAATGGCCAAATGTCTGATAACATCAGAGGGCACTAATAATGCATCCTGCTCCAACAAAAGCAGAAGTGACTGCCATCAACGCCTTCATTGTATCAAGATACTGATGGCCAACAGAAAGTGACCAGGTGCTGACAGCTGTCAAAAAGCATTTTGCTGAATGAGATGTAAAAAGAGGAAAGAATGACCAGAAAAAAGCTTTTCCCCAGTATGGTTAAGATTTAAAGGATATTTGTAATTGAAATATAGTCTGGACCAGTGGCTATGAAAGTATTTGTTTAAAATGATACCACTGCTAAAGTGATTCAACTGCACTGCACTGCAGAGATCCCAATGAACAAGGCAAGGCCAGAAGTCTTTATGGTAACACGCACAGCCCGGACTGGGAGGTGCTTTGTACACTGCCTGGCTGGGCAGATTTGGTCATGTCTCAGCGCACATTCGTCTCATTATGCTCCTAAGGAAAAAAAAGAAATGCTATTCAGTGTAATTTATCGTTAATTAGCTGACGTTAATCGTGGTGATTTCCAAACACCACAAAACCAACCAGGTTCAGTGCATAGCTACGTTAGGTTAGGCTGCCCAGAAGCAGTTACTCACTGCAGCAAGGAAGAACAGTTGTGCTGTTACCAGTAAGGGCTGCAGTAGCTGTACAGCTGTGGGACATCCCAGCACAACGCATCCAAGCTGTTCCCCACTTCAACACACGTGGCTCAGGGATTTTGTTCTCAGCCCTCCCCTCTGCTCAAGCCTCTAACAAGCAGTGCCATCTCCCCCAGGCTGGGTCAGCTGCACACAGTCAGGATCTGAACCACATTTCTGGAGCAACCAAGTTAAAAAACAGAGTGCTGGGGAGGGAAGGAAGGGCTGGCAGTTGGTTGTTGGGTTTTTCCCTCCTTCAAATCCAAATCTTGTCAGGAATTTGGGCTCAGCTACTCAGCTCTGAGGACAGTGACAAGATGACAGCGGGCAGACAGCAGTGCTCCATGCAGCTCTGCAGAGGCAGCTGGACCACCACGTTCCTCTCTGCCAGCACCAAGTTCTCTCTATCTAAGGAGATGCTCAAAGCCCCGTTCTTTGCAAGCCCCGATACTGACACCAAGCAGAGAGCAGCTGTTGGCCTAAGCAGGAAGGCAGCGTGCTGCTCTGACCTCGTGCTGCAGAGGTTCAGCCCTCAATTTCAACAGCAAACTGTTAGGATTTGGAAGCTGGAAGGTGATTGCTGGATTCTTTGTCAGCTTTGAGAGGTAGAACAGCAAGTCTAAGTAGATTTTCAGGTAACCAATAAAAAGTCCTTGTACTAATAGCACTTGGATTTTTGTCTTGATACTCAGCCTAGTTTTATCACCTACAAAATACACCGGGACAGACCAGAATCTTCACAAGCCTTTAAAATGGGTCACACTATTCATCACCAAAGATAAGTCTATTCGAGTGTTAATTTAATCAAAACCACTAATTAACTTCTGACATTGATTTCACCTAAGAAGGAAATCAGTGTAGAAAATGGGATCTCACTGTATAAATATTTAATTTAATTATGAGGATGGTTTCCCAGCTGCAGACTTTGAAAGGGAAAAAGGAACAGAACAGCTTTAATGACAATGAGAAATGCCCGGGTGCTTTCTGCAGTGCAACGTGAACAGTTTAATACTTGATTTATGTTCGTGAAAGAAGCTTTGTAGATTCTATCCTATATTTCCCACTCACAGTTAAAATAACACGAATGGTTATTGCTCTGTGGCTGTACCCAGATTTCCAGGAAGAATTTCACATCAGCCATCAAGCCAAAACAGTCATCATCTCCCAGCCATCCCTCTCCAAACACTTTGTATTGTTCGTGGGTCAAGAATCATTCTTTAAGAATATTTAACTGTCAAGTGATGTACTTCCAAAGGATCTTTTCCAGAGGAAAGATCACTGAGTACAGTTACCCATCCTGAAAATGAAAAGCGGTATTTTTTATTTTTAATCTGACAAACTAAAATGAGTTCCTGCTGATTTCTAGAGAAGATGATTTTCTTACAGCAAGTAAGTATTTTAATTAGGATGTAGTAATATTTCTTACCAACTCCAGTACTGAACTCTTCAGCACTCTCCCCAACATCAGAAAATGTTTATGACAACACTTGGGTTAAGTACACAGCTTGGCAATCACATCAGTAATTCATCCTTTGGAAGCTTTTGGCTTCTCTGTATTTCTTTACTTCTTAAAACCACATTTACACAGGGCTGTGTGCCAACCCAACTCCTTTCCCAGCTGACCAATCTGACAACAGCAATTCAACAATTCTTAACTGGAAAATAAGCTCAGGGCTAGGAGTCCTCCAAGATCAAAAACCACCTTCTAGGATGGAGTGAGATGAGACTGAACAGAGTGAGCCCTACAGCTTACGCAGAGCCCATGGTAGACGAGAAGCACCAGCAGCTGCCACATTCCTGTCCCACCAAAGACATCGTGTGTGTGTTCAGAGCCAGCTGCATACATTTCAGGCTTAGAAATCTACAGAGTTAAAATTTGCACTGAACGTTTGTGGTACTTTCCAGGTTGTCAGGTCGGCCCCGGTGATATGATAAAAAGGTTTTGAGTTTCAGATGATGAAAGGTCACCTATCTTTTACACTGAGTTTCATATTGAGCTCCACATTATATAAAGATACACTTATCTAGAGCTGGAATCTCTTGAACAAGCATACCTTGGTCGAGTTGCTTTTAGTTTCCCATGCAACCGAAAATTCTGCAAGTCAGAGCTGGAGGAGCTTCAGTTTTTCTGGCCAACATTATCTATGCTTACTTCCTCCTTGCCACACAGACATCTGTGTCTCCTTCCAGAGGGAAACAAGTACTAACCAGTAGAACAAGAAGAAACATCCATATAGGTTTATACAGGATGTTTTCAATTTTCTGGTGAGGTCAAGTACCAGCTGCCCAGTACCTTCAGGTTAGAGTTATACCATCATAAATAAAGAGAATGGGAGTAGAAAGTGGAATGTGCTAACGACCCCCTGGGTAAACAATTAATTGTGCAGTCAGCTGTTTCACAGTACCTTGTGGCACATGTATGATCCACCCTTCTTCACTCGGTCAGTCCCCGACAAGGGCCCTTTCTGCAGATGAGAGGACACTGTTAGCACTCACAGGAACAGCAATTGCCAATCATAGGGTGAAGGATAAGAAGCTGTGAGAGCAGGGAGATGGAGAACAGCATCCAAAGGTGCTCTGAGTAAACAAACCTTCAGCTGTGCCCAAACCAAAAAAGCTTTAAAGCAGTTAAGATTCTGTAGTTTATGACTTCTCCCAGGATCACGTATTTTCACCTACCAGCCTGCACTATCAGTGAAATATGAGACTCGTCAGTCCCACCACTCCATGGCACCACCACAGTGGGTCAAATAAACATGTCCATGGACCATTTGTGGCCAGTCAGATGAGGGGCTGTAATCTTCAGCATTTGGTGCTTACTGCCTTCCCAGTCCAAAGCGCAGACTGAAGCACAAACTAGTGACTGTGCTGCAAGACATTCTGTAACAGCTCCCACTGCTGTGTGCTAGATCTGTTATTATGCAGCTTTGTGACAGCTAAAAAGGTCTGCAGAAAGCACTGTGCTTATGAGCAACAATTCTGTAATTGCATGTCCATTTGCAGTGTAATGTAGGTGATTTACTTTAACTGCTTATGAAATTGGCTCTAGAATTGCTTTAACAAAGTTATTTCACCATTCTTCTTCAATTCCAACTCCAAATAATGGCCCACTAGTTCAAGGAGACACTGGGCTCCCATGATAACACTTCTGCTAGCTTTGTTGCATATTTATTGAGCATGTGAGCAATTCTCCCCTGTGGTTCCTTTTAGCTGTGAAGTAGTTACTACTGCACTCATCTACTGCTTAATAGTAGAGAGTCCTGCCATACTGCATGTTCCTACTGTTGATATCAAGCATTCCTATAAGCTTTTTAGCATCCATGTGCACTGTGAATCTACTTTCAGGACAAAGCCACAAGAATATGTCCTATAAAAGCACAAGATCAAGAAAAACCATTTTATTAGAGAAGTGGCAAGGCAAACCTAGAAGACAGCACAGCCACTGAGCAGCCTCTCAGTTAATTTGCATGACTTTTTATTTCTGTCTACAATACACTGGTGTGCAATCAAAACATTTCCTTATCACCTCCAAGCCTCAAAGAGTCATTCACTCGAGGCTTAAGCTGACATGGCTTTCACTGGATGGTAGGATGTATAAATCATATCTAAATCTACACAAAATCTTATTAAAAAAAAAAAAAAGGAGGAATACAGGAAGGAAAAAAGCCTGTATTTTCTGCTAAGACCATTACATATAACCAACAAATGCAGGTTGCAAGAAAGTTATTAGCTCAGTTTTTAGCAGTTAGAAAAAAAGAATTCATTGCCACAGAGCATGGAAATTATATAAGACAGACCACAGAAAGGTACCATAATAAGTTAAAAACAAACAAAACGCTGAAAAATAAAATCTGCCAATTATTGTTCTACTTATGTCCAACAGACAGCCCATGCATCCAGGATGTATCACAAGGGTGCTGTGCTTGCTGCAAGGCATGAAGGACAAGGCTTTGACCAACAAAATGCAGCTACTGCAGCAAATTCCCCATTCCAGCCTTACCCTGGAACATCTCTCACTCACTGCAAAGGCTTATAGGAAATCTGACAGAAGGAGAACTGACCTACTCCCACATTTAACATCCTACAAATATCCAAGGAAAAGCACACCCACACACTGTGTCTGCTGGTTTCCAAGCCTGGCTGCTCCCCTGGGGCAGGTTTCCTCTTTTTCAACATCTCTGGAAGCTGCTTTTCCAAAAAAAGTGCATATGGGTGCACTGTACCCCACTCTCAGATAAGTTGCTAATGGGCACAATCAACTCAGGCAACCTGTTAATCTCATTTCAGGGAAGTCAGTGTACACCCAGCTGTAAGAAAAGTGACCTAAAAATGCCACGAGAACAAGCCAGAACACAATGGAGCTGTTCAACAGGATTTCCCATTACAAAATGAAACTCAAATACAGAGCTTTGGTCTTAGCTGGGAGCTCTAAAGTGACTCTTAAACTAAGAGAGGTGTGCTACTTGAGGGTCAGGGGGGCTCACAGCTCTAACTGCTGGAGCACATTGTGATGGGACAGCATACTGAAGAAGCATGAGAACTAAAGAAAATGGCCACAGCCTAAGTTCTTTCTATTAATTACAAATAACTTACGATACTCAATTTTTGCCTGGCAGAAGATATTTGATAACAAAGAAGTTAAGTTGAACTCCCCTCCCCCAGCCTCTGAAGCAAGATCACAGCACTGATATGATTTACCACTGCACTAACCTCATACGGTGTTCTCCAGTAATCTATGCTACTGTGAAACAGCATCCCCTGGGCAGATAATTCTCTCACATCACTGAAGGTGAAGAGTTCATCAAGAAACTGCGGATCTTCTCTGAAAAGCAGCCAGTGGTTGTGTTCTCCTCCAGTATGCAGCTCAGCTCCTCTACAAAGGCTCTGTGCATCACCTAGCTCCCTATCAGAGCCATATGGGCTGATCTGGAAACAGCACATTAGATGTACCAAAAGTGTTAAGAAACTTTCACTAAGCTCTGACCCTCTTGAATCAATCTATCTTTCAGGCAAAAAGAACATACTCCATATATGGGTTATGTTGAGCTGTACTCTGGAGAGACTTAGGAGGTTGGCACTGATAGTTACAGCACTAATGTCTCAGAAGATACTGCAGCCTGGCTATTCTGGGACAAGTCTTTACATTATGAGATTCAGTTTCCTTTTCCATTTCATCAGAACTCTTCAGAACTCGCACTGGAGGGGGCCTCAGACACGATATCCTGACAACTTGTTTACAACTGAAAACACTAAAAACAATTATTAACACCCAATAATTAAATCCTTTCCAAAGCATCTGGGAAATGTTTGTGTTGAATTTAAAAATCCAGGCCAACTCACATCCTCTTAAGTTTAATAGAGAGCAAAATTCTCAAGTCAGATATAACAGATATTCCCACCATCATCTTAATTTAAGGCAGAAGTACTACCAGCATTATAAGTACAGCAGGAAGAAACAAGTGGCCAAAACTGAAGTGGCTGTTAAAGTGAGCAACAGATAAAAAAGAACAGGGATAACTGCAATACGCTGCAAATTACCAGACCTGTGTTTTCTCTCCCAGGGACACAGATGCTGTTTGTCTCTGAAAGAGCAGGGGTGGGTGCAGGGTCCTTCCTGCTCTGCTGAGGTAGCACATGCCCATCACTGTGCTGTGGTCCAGACACTGAGAGGAGAAAAGCAGAAGCTTTCCTGGCTCAAACCATGGTTACCAGTCTGGAACAAAAAGCTCAATGCTGCTTACTTGCTTCCTCTTACCCTGACTTACCAGGTTGCACCAAATCAATACTCATCTACTCTGACACAAGAAAGTTTGCTTTGTTCTTCACTTTCATCCAGATCTACATTCTTCTAACTATTCAAGGCTTCATCTTCATCTTGTTTCTTTGTTTGCTTTCAGCTATTGCTAAGCTATTGAAGACTATCTGTGAACAGAAGTTACAAAATAGCCCGTCCAATTTAAAAAAAAAGCAAGGAAAATAGCTATAGTCAAAGCAGTTCAGTCACCTGGAGAAGTGTACGTAAATGCACCATCTGATCCATAGCTTAACCTACCAAAAAAAAAAAAAACTTGTGGCGTCTTCCCAGGATACAAGTAACCTGGAGTCAGCCAATGTGCTTGGTACAGTAAGAGGTCTCCATCAGTGCACTGAAACTGCTAGAAGATCTCGTGCAATTAGACCCAAGAAGGTGCTGGTAACATCATCCTGATGAAACAGCAGAATGTCAACCTCTGCAATGTACTGACCAGCAAAGTTTAGCAGGTTCCTCAAGCTGCTTCCAGCTGCTGACTTCCCACAGAGGGCTGTGATTATGCCCAGCACACCAGACAAAGACAATATGTACAAGACCACAGTGTGGGGATACTCAAATCCTGCAGGAAACAGATAGCTCCTGCCCAGAGAGGCTTAACTGGTTTTCTCATTACAGATAACCGTATCTGAACAAAACAAGTTCTGTGAGAGTGGAGCAGTTCACTTCTCAGATTTAGTCATCCTAGATAAATGAGAGAGGATATGTAACATTAGAGCTTGAATCTGCTGAGAGATATGGTGCAAGAAAACCAAAACACAAAGCTTACCCTGCTGGGCCTCTTCCACTTGCTGCCATAAAGATAACCAAAGATTAACCCCTTCAAAGCCCAGAAAACTAATTCTCTCCATAAACATCAGCTTTATTACATGCTCAGCTTAAGTGAGCTAGTAGAATCCATTAAAATAATCCAGGATGGTTTGTTCTCTACCTAGAAAAAAATAAATAGTGCAGCTTGTAGCAAAACATCCTCCCTCCCATTTATTTCATTGCACTGGCAAATTCTTTACTTGTTTCACCTGATGTCAGTTTGGAAGCATTCAACTCCTAACCAATGGCAGAGGTCAAGAAAAAAAAAATGAAATTGCACTACTGCACTGCTATTTCAGTGCTGGTGACTTGTAGTGTGATATACAAAGAGGAGCAAAGAACAGTAGGTTTCTAATCAGCAACCAAACACAAGTAGCAAGAGGAAGCTGTGCCCTCATGTATGCCAGTAATATACTCACAGGGTTGTGAGCTTCGTCTGTTGAATGATGAACAGCCCACCAGTCAGATGTCCACTCCCAGGCATTTCCTACAATGTTGTACAAGCCATATCCATTGGGAGGAAATGCAGTGACCTATACAAGACAAATAACTGCCAGTTCTTTAAACCACTCCACATGAAATAAGGCTTTTTAATGACCAGATGACCAGTTTGCTGAAGGTACGTTGATTTCTGCCAAGAACTCTGCCTTCACATCTCGTAAACAGACAAACCAGCAGTGCACAACCGTAACACACTTGCTTACTCCACTTCAGTAAAACAGAATGAAAGAATGAACAGCTATGATCCCCGATGTTCTCAGCACTGTTTCCATTATGGCACCTGGCATATTCTCATCAATTTTGCTGACTGATCCTTTAAAGAGGAGCACTGTTTGACAAACAGCAGCAGCAGAACAGCACATAGCACCAGCATTCTAAGCTGTGCATTTATTCTTACAACTTCTAGATTCCCCTTTCCCACCTAAGAAAAACAAGACATGGCTGTCAGCTCATCCAAGCACAGACTTCTTAACTGATTAAACTTTTAAATTGCCACTTAATTCATATTCCTATCTTGAAAAAAAATATCCCCATTGGGATGCCATAATGGACAGGCTCCAAAAAGGGAAGCTCCATTTATTTTACTGTACAATTTTTGTAGCTTGGGAACACCTAACCAAAAATGAGAGCTAAAAAACGGGGATGCCAAAAGTAGAGGCATGAGAGAGTTTCAGCATCTGACTCAAAAGCGCTTAGAAATGAGGAAAAGGGCTCAGTTTGAGAAGGACTGAAAGTTAAAATGCAGGTAATCTTTTCAGTTAAACTTTTAAAACGTATCCATTGGTAATACTCAAGCCTGCAGTGAAATACACCAGAACTTGAAAATCTAAAGGTGAAAGTACAGAAATGGAAAACATCCACATTCATTATGTTAAACATGGACCTCAATGCTAGGAAGTTAATTTCCATATGGTAATTCACTTTGAGACACTCTTACCGGTGCAGTTCCTTTGTATCCATCTTCTGCAGTGTTGTTACTTGGGAACACTCCCTGCCAGATGTTAGCATAATGCTGACCTTTCGGCTGAAGCTTGTTGCCCCATGGGAAAAGTCTATTAAAAGACAGAAAAACAGTTGTCAAACTCTCATTTTATTCTTTTTAATAAATGAAACACCTTACCCACCTTTTTACTCACCACCTTACTCTGGGGAAGCTGTTTGTATTCCAGTTCCATTTGTACCAATATCTTTAAAGCACAAAGGCTTTAAAGAATAATAAGGCTTCTACAAGGGCAGTTTTGTTACCAAATGAGGGAAAGGCAGCCCTTGCTAGCACTGCCATGTGCAGCACGCAGTTCAGGACACAGGATAGAGGGGACAAAAAACTGTTGCTCACTTGGTCTTCCCCTTCTCCCAAAGCCCATGGTCACCTAAAAGGTGTATCCACTGATTGTAATGCTGTGAAGCAACACACGTAGTTACTTCTCAAGCTCCTTTGCAACTCCTTCAGTCTTGGCTCTAAGCCCTTTTTTTATCTTCCATCACCTGCAATAGCAGCAGTCCTATGCCTTGGCTTTGTATCACATCTCAGCCTCCTGCGCTCTTTGCATTCACTTTCTGTTATACATCTTAGGTGACATAAAGCAATATGTTCAGAAAAAGCCTGTGTTACATTTACCATAGAGGCATACACTATACAAGACAGGCATGGAGGGAAATAAAAAAAACCTCTCAGCTTTTCCTTATCTAGTAACTATCAGTTTTAAACAAGATAAGAAACATCTGTGGCAGGTACCTTTTCTCAAGGCCCCCTCGACAGCTGTACTCCCATTCAGCCTCAGTCGGTAATCGTTTCCCTGCCCACGTGCAAAATGCTACAGCGTCATTCCAGGACACGTGAAGAACTGGATGGTCCATCCTGGAGAGCAAAACAAACAGGACAAGGCCATCAGCAGAAGCAGGTAGTCTCACAGCAATGCAGAAAAGGCACTTCACAAAATTCTGAAGAGAGGCCACAAAACACTATGAGAAAGTTTACAGCTTCAGTTAGAACTGGACAAGTTACCAGATTACTTTTTCAGAAAATAAGCTATTTAAAGAACAACAAGGAGCTACTGGTAGGTGCTGGATGGGTAACGCAGCCATCAGACAGAACGATGAACATGCTTTTATGTGCAGCTCTACAACAGCACAAGTCTGGTATAGCTTGCACTCTCTCACATCAGGAACCTGCTGCACCAAAGAGCCAGCAAGGAGCTGCTGATTTGCTGCCTTCTGGGGAAATGCTTAGAATCCCAAAGGAAGACACCAAAAGTAATTGAAGACTGCAGCAGGACCCATTTCTCAGCTGGCTTAATAGTATCTTAACAAGTAACTAAGACTTGATAGGTAAATATACATTGCAATTTAATGGCAAATAAGGTCATTGTTCAATTCCTTGTACACTCCTCTGTTTGCTGCAGGTTATTTGCTTTCAGCTGTGGGGTTTTTGATGGATAGCAACACAATCTTTTGCAGCATTCAATCCAGGAAGCAGTCACTTGCAGAAGTTTAACAAAAAAGTATTTTTCTCTGTGTTCTTTAGGCAATCCACAGCTGAGGATACTGGTCCAGAGGAATTCCTATTCACTTCTCTTTTCTGCCTTGTTTTAACAAGCCTGTCTGCACCTATGGAAGCAGTATATTGCTTTCATATGAAAGTTCACTACCAGTTGTACCAGCCTAGGTTTGCACTATACTTTTGCAAGACAAGATTTGCATGGCATTTTTCCAGCTGTTATGTGCTGACTGTGACCTCAATTTCTCAATCTCCCCCTAACAATGCCTCCTGATATTATCTCTATTTTTGCTTCAGATAATTCTTTCATTGCCCTTGGAGAAGAGACAATGGACTTGTTACTAAGCAGTTCAGCCATCAGATGATGTTACACTAACCTAACTCTGTCCCTAGGGGATTCAAAAACATGCCAACATCCACTAGATCTAGGCTAGAGAGCCTGGCTATTTCCAGCAGCAGTTGTGAAACTTTAACTAGTTAAGCAGTTAGTGTCAACTTCTTTGTCATTTGCCTAGTGAGAGAAGTAATTTAAGAGGTCAAAAATGAGGACAGAGACCTAAGTAAGCACCCAAGTCAGGTAAGATGTTTACAGGCATATTTACAGCAAGCAGTGTGTATCATAACAGAATGGCCACTTACACATTACCTGCTGAGGATGCTGGAGCCAGGACCCTCGGGTTGCCTCCAGTTGGCTCCCTTCACAGGCAACCACCAGGGAGCAGCTGCAACCTGAAAGGAGACAAATGGACAGGGAAGATGCCCTGAATTCCCAGCTAAAGACTATACTGAAAAAACAAATCCAGTGACAAATGGCTGTAAAGCTTTAACTCAATGCTCAAGGCTTTGCTTGTAGCTAGCTTATCTACTACATTCCAAATTACCTCTGAGGAACCAAGGTGATCACTGGATCCACATTACAAAGTTGCTGGCCAGAAAATAACCAAAGGTATGGGTCAGCACAGAGAAAATACATCCCAAAAAATTAGTAAGAGGCAGGCAAAACCTTGAGCATACTTCCCTGCAGTGCTGCCTCCTGGCTGTCTCTCCTTCCCTCCCAGATTTTCTCACCTGCACATCTGATTTAAGCCAGGGTTTCTTCCTTGGGAAGGCACGGCCTTCAGCACACTTCCTGAGGCAGACCAGCCTGTCCTCTCTGAGATTCTCATGTATAATTCTTCTGAAAGCATACGTCAAATGCATCTCGGGTGGCAGTGGTTGAAAAGCCATCTAAAATATTAGAGTTTAACTCGATCCTTTCACGATATTATTCCCACAGTACATGCAGACCAATTAACCTCCTGGCTGATTTTGGTCTGACACATACTGCAGGGATAAGAAACAGCTTTAGCCTACAGAGTGTTTTCATCTCAATTATTTTCTCCCCAGACTCCATGTTTTAGAATAACTAAGACAAAATCCTGATGACATCCTTTAACAAGGGTCAAAACACACATCTTGCAACGCTTCTGCTTCCCAGCTAATTTAACTGAATCTGAAGTACTTGCTGTCAGCTTCCAGAAGGTGGAGATGGGAGAGACACAGAAGTGAAGCTTTATGTATTTATTTAAAAGTTGGCTTACTGAACAACATCAAGCTCACAAACTGAATGCTGTGTAACAGTGCAAACATCCAGTACTTCTCTGACCAGAAATCCCCAATTTGGCTTTCCAACACCAAGGAAGTATTCATGGAATACACTTATTTAAGGATTTCGCCTACTAGGTTTACTTCCAAGTTACAAAGCAGTAAAATCTCTTAAAGGTCTTGCTTTCTGATCTCCCTAGCATGAAGAGGAAACGAGTTGATATCAGCCAAATAACTGTAGCTCAGAATGTAACAAAACTATTGACCCTCTCTACAATTAGAGGCCCTCGTGGTTTTTTTTTTTGGGGGGGGGGGAAGAAAAGTATTTGATCTCTCACTAGAAGCTACAGCTTTGTTATTGAGCATTCAAACCCCAAACGGGACTTTCCTTCATCTCAGATACTTAGCTCTCATAACACTATCTGAAGCCTCAGAATGGCCAAGCTGCTGATCAGATACTACAGATAACAGGCTTAACACCAGCCTGATTTATCCAATTCCCTGTTTTGAACTTTAGTCTGCCACTCAAGAGAGGACAGAAATCTCAGGTCAAAATTTGACAACCATACAGAAACAGAAGAGAGCCACAGTTCTATTCACTGAAATACAAAATATCAGGAGTAGAATTTTAGCCTGACACTACTTTTCAGAAAAATCTCTGCAAATGACTGCAAAGACTTGCACTACAGAAGACTAATTTTGGAAAACGTTTTCACTATGCAAAAGAAAAAGCAGATGCTTTCGATCAGAATGGTTTATTTTAAACAGAAAAAAATATAGTCTCTCTGCATGAGAGCACTACGTGTGCACGCCTTCTGTTTCTGGCTCTGCTGAACTGAACACCAAATGGCTGCCAATGCCTTCAGAACACCCAGATCTTCAGAGAACTTACACTGATAGTATTAGGACACTGATAACAGTGATAAACTACATACAGCCTCCAATAATTAATTGGAAACTAATTTAAGTCAGCCACTGGCAGCACTGAGCATGCACCAGGATGCTCTTTCCAAAAGTGAAAGTCATGTACCTGAAATTTACAGCCCTTTCAAAAACTTCTCAGAAGTCTGCAAAGCTTTTAATTGCTCTAAATCTAATTAGCGGGAAAGCTAATTAGTAATATTACAACATCACATTTAACACAGCAAAGCTCTCCCTTCCCACTAATGAGCTTAGCTCCTTTCATAACGCTCCGCATTCTCACTCCTAAGTGTGCTCTGTGGGCTGGCAGGAGACTCCTTTTGAAAAAACAGCAGCAAATGCTGCTGAAGAGATCTTGAAGAGATACTGAATTAGAAGAGGCTATGGGGTCTACCGATTCCCTCTTTATAGCATAGCCATCACTTGTAACAGGACTGGTTGAACGAGACCGCTCTGGTGTTGCACAGCAGCCTTGATGCATAAGGAAGGTGCAGTTCTGGTAGCAAGGAGCATTTTGGAAGCAGAAAAGCTCAGTGCTCGTTCTGGTCTGAAGAGGGAAACGTGGCATTATGCAGCTCTGCTTAAGGATTAAACTTCAAGAACTCACTGTTCTGCTTATCATTCTTAGCACTGAAGAAACAAGAACATACGATAGCACCGTGAAGATCAATAGGTAACTGCAACCTATTTGAGTTTTCCACTCACATGAAGCAATTTGCTGAGCTGAAACCTACACTCCCACTATCAGCTTGCATTACATTTAAGAAGTTTTAAGTACTCAATTTTCTTATCAAGGTAGGCTGTGATATCCTCACTTTAACTGCTCCATTAACTGGTGACTTTCTGACAACTTCACAATTGTCTTGAAGAAAAATTCCAAAAGCTACCGGATAGGGAAACATCAGCAAAGTCAGTTTCATCATCAGCATTACACCATGTTCCTGGCAGAAACAGTAGGAACATATCCCACATAAAACAACCACAGCCAGCAGCCACTAAAGCATCTGTATTGATCTTGGGGCTAACACAGCACTGGCCACTTTGGAAGGAGCCTTCCCTCACCTCAAGTCTCACTTCAGCCCCAATTTTACTTTCTAATCACATTTATGTATGAGAAGCACTGTACACGTTTAATTTGCAAAAGCATTCTCTTAGCTACAAAACATGTGCATAGGCTGGAAGCAGGGAAGTTATGAAGCATTATCTTTGAGAAATACACCCAGTGGAGTGGGCATCTTCACTACTGCGAGGCAGAAGTAGTTTTCCAGTCAAGAATATCATTTCAGGTTGAAGATTTGTTCATCATCAGATGTAGATACACAAATCTGTTAACTTTTCTTCCTCTATGCCATATTCTAAACCTCGTGCAGCTGATTCATCAACTACTGAAGAAAGAGGCAGACAGAAGATAGAAAATGTAACATTTTTAGTAGGGCAAGCAGTTAAAAAAAAAAAAATTTAGAGCATACTGAGTAACAGATGAGCTACTGGCATTTTCCCTTCAGAAACTACAGAAATCTCTTTAGGTTAGGCCCGAGCAACAAGCCCCATTACACCTATTATCTGTGTAGCATTGGCATATGTTCCTCATGCCCCTTAAAACCTTCCCCTGGCTAAGATTTGGGCAGGGATGTCTCCCACTGCCTCCACACAGCTCCCAGGCTCATATTATCACAGCACCTCCCTCCCCTGCAGCAGAGCCTCCTGCTGTGTGCAGGTAGCATTACCTGCACCTGCCTGCAAAGCGGGCTGTGGCTCTGAGTGGATCTGCTGAGCCCTGGGATCAGCACCCAGCATTGCCAGACACCAGCAGGCAGCAGTTATTCCAGGCTGCCGTGTTAGCATGGCCCTGCTCGGGGCTGACAGCCACCCACCAACGCTTTGGCTGCTTGCTGCCACTTCACATCCTGCTCAGGATAAGAGGAAAACCAGTGGAAGGCACAAAGATTTGCAGTCATGCTCAGAATACATCACACGATGAGGGGCAGTCTAAACACGGTGGAGCTGTGCTGTGGCTCCCACTTGATTGAAAAGCCATTTTCCAAACACAAGGCAAAGCCCTTTGGTAGATGCACACTCCCTGCTCACCTCAGCCAGCCCACAGTGCTTCTTCTCCTTTTTATCAGCACACTGCAAACGGCACAATCATGACCTATTTCTATGCAGTACTCATCCCCATAGCAACAGGCTTGTGTTTAAATTGAAACAGCTGTAACTGAGTCAGGGAGACATCACAAATGTAAATAGTGAGAAAGTGAATAGAGATTCAAGGCTCAGGACAAAGAAGAGATCTTTTCCAGCTTGTCACAGTAGCTGCAGCAGGGACTCTACGTATGCAGCTATCATTCATACCTGTACTTGAAAACACTCTGCAACAGGACAAACCTTCTGTAATTATGTGCATAAACTGAACTGAAACTTGATTGTCAAGTTTTCCACCACATTGGGAATTAAGTTCAGTGAAGTAGTTGGAAGCAGATAGTTGAAGCATTCCCCCACCCCCCTGATAACTCATCCAGGACATCACCAGCACCTGTAATGTTAGCACAGGTCTTACATTATTTAGCATATCGGTTAAAATCTCAAGCTCCACCAAAAGCTGTTATTAAAGAAGAATCTGTTCTCACTCTTCTAAGGTTTCTAGCTTCCCATATGAGCTCAGCAATGGAAGCAAAAAGGCTAGATGTTCAATACTGAATATTGATATTGTTTGCATGATTTTTAAGAAGTTTGAAATTGCAGCACTGCAAAAATGAAGCATGGCAGTTTTATAGAATTAAATATATTTTAAGTCAGTTAGTGAAAAGATTTCATATTTTACCGGAAAAGAGCACTCTACCTTTATGAAGAGACATTTGCCTTCACATAAGGAAAGGTTATCAAATCTCATTCAAATAGTATAATACTTCAATGCCATTTCAATTCTCCAAGAAAAATAGCCAAAATTATTTGATACTAAAATCCAGTGAGATTGATTAAGTGCAAGTTTTGGAATCCAGAGAAGCTTCTTTTGAGAAGCTGATATTCCTGGTGAGTTCCATCTTTGGAAGCTCATTTTTCAGCCAACATCTAATTTTGCACTCCAGCTGGTCATTTCTTCCAAGTGAATATAAGCTTTAAGAAAGAGGCATGCACAGATGCACCTACAGCCTAAGGCACAGGCTTCACCCAGCTTTAAAGCTGGAGTTTATGCTGATAAAGATAGACCAATATTAGTGGTTAATTTCCAGTGAGAACTGTGAGCTTCTTTCTTTAGCCTCAAGATCGAGTGAACAGTTTAAGAAAATGGAGACCAACAGTTCAACAGCTCCACCTCGTCAGCTCCTTGCAGGGATTTCTGAAGCAATGAGGCCTGCAAGAAAGCAGCTCACCCATTTCTTCCTTTGATTTCAGTTTCCTCTGAAAGCAAGAGCCAGCTGCAGTAGAGGTGACTTAAATTACCAATGGATGTGATTACCAGCTTCTGCTTAAGAAGAACATATGTTGACATCTTAACAGTATCAGGAACTGATACAATAACCCCACCCCTTTTCCCCTTCACCACAGATAAGCAAGTTATTTTAAGCTGACTTTCTCAAAGCCATAGTGAATGCTGGGAATGCTGTCCTACCTGCAAACAGGAGTATTTCAAATTAATCCTTGAAATGCACAATGTTTTCCTCATTTTCTAGAGATACTGCTATAAACAAGTACATTTGTACAGGAAGACTACTGCAGAGATTCCAAACAAAAAGGGATTAAAAGTGTCCAGTAGTTCTAAACTGAGAAAACTCCGATTTAATAGTGCTTGCTCAAGTCTGCCAGCAAACTGATTTCATTGCATTCTCAGGCTGTAAATTAATTACTACCTGAAAATAAATTGAGAATGAAGATTTGAATGCACTCAGTCTCTTCATTGCAGAGTCCATCTGGCCTAGAGGCAAAAATTAATTCTATCTTTCACAAGCCAAGGATTAAAATGTTCCCACAACTCTCCAGTGAGCAAATTTGACATACTCTGTGCTCCAGACTTGTTAAGTGCTGTTCTGTTTACCTTTTTCATAGTAGCTGCACAGCAAGCAAAAACTCTTGCAATTATTTGCAAGAGCTCTTAAATCCCTTCACGGGCAAGTACACCTCACTGCCTTCTCATCTGGCAGACACAGCTTTCATGATCTTCACTCTAGGAAGCACTGAAATCCCTTACAAATGAAATAATAGCACCGGCCACAGATTTTCCCTCTCCACTTCCTCCTTCATTCAGTCGGGGAGATAAGCGGTCAGGCAAACAGTCTCATCATAACACACGAATAAACATCATCTCTAAGTTTTGAGAGGTCTTCTTTCTCCATCCACCTTCCCATCCTCCTCCAAAAACAAGGAAGAAAAAGCCCTGACTGCCCAGCTATTGGCAATTCTAGTTTGTGTTCTAGGACATTTACACTGAAGACCAAGTATTCAAGAAAGGCCACAACTTAATACATGTAATAGATGCAGTAAATTATCAGATGATTTTAATTTGCAAGTCCAAAAACTTAATATATGAAGCTATCAAAAGAAGCAAGCCCATGCAAGAAATTCTGGCTTCAAAAGGTCCTCTCTCTCCCTAGAAAATCCTACAAGTGAAGAAGTCCATGCCAGTTTTGTCAGCATCACTTTTATCTGTGATCATTCTACATTTCTACTCTCTGCCATGTTACCACAGCAAACTTAAGAGGCCAAAACTAAAACCTGCATCTCCAAAAGCCTAGAACAATTCAGTTACTGGTTGCTACACCCCTTTTTACTGTTTCCTTCCACACAAGGGTTAGGTCCAACCTACATTCTTCAGCAGTGGATATCTAGGAGACTTCACCTTCAGGAAACGCACACCCAAAGCTCCAACAATTACTCTACGTGCTAAGCTGGCTTGCTCCTGCATCAGCTTTCACAGCCCCACCTCTGTGCTACTGTAGCTGTCTGCTTCTTTTCAGGGACTACAACAAAACTGTCCAGCATAAGACGTGGAGAAGCCTAGGTGCCCAAATAGAGCAAAACCCCAGACAGATACCACCCCCACCTCCCCCCCCACATACATGCTCCACTGTAATCACAAGCTGTCAGACACAAACATATTTGGTTCAATACCTTCACTTCCACCTTTTCCCAATTTTTCCCCTGCATTTGAAATACTACTCACAAAATGCACACCCCTATTGCTTTTCTTGTGTTCACATCTGCATTCAGCTGGAGAACAGCCTCAAACCACAACTAAGCCACTGAGGCAAAGCAGTAATAGAGTCATTTTTCCCCATCAGTTTAGTGCAGTACTAATGACACTTGAAGAGCAGAAATAAGCTATAAATGTTCATGATTATGGTTATGGATCAAGAAGATACATACCACACTTTACAATACCAGCTGACTTGAGTACACTTGGACAAAGAAGCCTTAGTCTTCTCTATTGCTGATCATGACAATTTATTGAAGCAAAATTCATGCTGCTTATACCTTTTCTAATCACATTTTAATAGTCACACTGTGGTTGCCAAGTTTTAAAATATGTTCACTTTCGTTTTTGTTTTTTTTTTTTTAATAGAGTTAGATTCCTTTCATCTTTTTCCCTCAGCTGGTATTAGTAGACCTGAAAAATTTCAGGGGCCGTCTAGCAAATCAGAGGCTACCAGTGCTTCTGCTGGTGGTTCAGCAGATCTCCAGGAAGGATTTGCTTCTGCAGAGCCCTCAGAATCCCTGCACAGTAGCTGGAAAGCTTCTGCATTTTAGTTTCTTGCCAGTTGTCTATAGCAACGTGTTCTTTGAAAACAACACATAGCAAACTGCCAGCGCACGTCTTTTAGTTTCAGTAAGAAGGGATAAGCATTGCCTTCACACAACTTGTGTTTGAGAAGCAGTCTGAGTTGCATTCTGAAGTCACATCCACATAGATGACGCTTCTCTTCCCTGCAACAGAAAAACACTTGCCTGTTCTGGTCTAAAAACTGTGCTGTCACAGGCAGAAAGAAAAAAGAAAACCACCAACCTCTGTACAGTAATCTCAACATTATAATCTCTCAAAGAAAATGCATCCTAGAATAACAAAAAGACAGAGCTGTGACAGCTCTATACAAAGGACTAAGCTGCATGCTCAGACACTAAGTTCTCCTTTCAGCCCCACCACTGATCTGCCTTCTGACACCTCTTCCCTGCTAAAGCAAGTGCCTTCTCAAAAGTCAGATGGTATGCAGCTGGTAAGGGGACAAGCAAATGAGAGGAGGAAAAAAGGCATTTACTTTTTTACCTTCTCACAACATTACAGCGTTTTAGAGCAGAAGTTTGCCCACAGCAAGAGCACGAAGAAGTGCCAAACAAGGCAGGCAGTCACTGCTCTCCAAAGCACTCCACCAAAATAATCAGTACAATCTTTCTCCATGTCTGTTTCAAAGACACTCTTTATGCCAGTAACTTGCAGAATGACCTAATAAGAAATACTGAAAAACACAGCAAAAAAACAGCTCCTGGAAAGTTTACTTTAAACAAGTACAGAAAATGCTCATTAAAAAAGTAAAGGCAGCCGAAAAATACCAGTGTGGGCTCTGTTCCAGTTCTCTGGCATAATGCTTGCTCTGTTAGCACTACAGGCAATACTTTAGGATCTGGTTGACACACCCAGCTAAGTGGCTCCCAACACTGTGTTTGTTTACACCAGTAGCCAGGACTGAACTTACACTGGAATTCTGTTTGTTTATTTCTTTCAACAGAATGCCTGGTTAGAGATTTCTGAATTGTGGAACTAAGGCAGGAAAAAGAATTCCTCCTTACCAACAGCTGAATTTTCTCTTGTGGAGCTGGGATGATTGCAGCTGCATTTATTCATCATTCAGCACCAATGATGCTAGTATTTGGCTAGTGCAATTTAATCATCTCAGAACTCACAGTACACAAATGGTAACCTTCAATAAAAATATATAAGCTATTCTCATGACCTTTCTTTCCTTGCAGTAGGAAACCAAATCCCACATTTTTGCCACAGTCATTTACAGCACAGACTTACAGAGATCAGAAGTTTCAATTAGTCTCTTCTAAGTAAAATTAAGCTCAACCAATATACTCTCTCAACCAAGAATTTAGTTTATATAAAACTATCAGTGCTGATCACTCCAAGCTACCACACCATCCATTTGCAAAGAAAATCCTATTATTTTGGTGAAAATGACTCAAAACAAAAACCCTGGATGCTCTCAGCTGTTTGGCATAACATGCACTAATTCCCTTCCTTTTTAGCTACCAAACTCATGTGGCTTTTTTGTTGGTGGTGGTGGTGGGGTTTTTTTTTGCCAATATTCATTTCTCCTAAAGAAGAAAATTGAGTCACCTCCAGCTTTACAAGCAGCTCAGCCACTGTCTGAACAGAGACCACTGTCTTGCCTTAGAGGAAGAGAACTGGAAAGAAAAATAGCCAGGCAAGTGGGATTCAACAGATTTTTTAACAATTCCTCCATACATCACCTTTTCGGATAGCAGTTTGGAAAGATCATAATTTAAACATTGTTGCCGTAATTGCCAACACATCTACCCCAGTGACTTCCAAGCAGGCTTTTCTCTGCCACATTACTCACTGCCTGATGGATTTCAGCCTTCACTTCTTCACTCAGCATTCCCTCAAACACGAAGGAATCTCCGAACTTCTCTGCCTATGGAAAGAACAAGATCTGATCACATTATCGAAGGAACATTATTCTCAAGATGCCAGTCACATGTAGAGCTTTATTCTATCAAGAATAAGGAAATTCAAACAGTAACTTTGAGTTGTTCTTCAAAGAATCTGTTTTGGAATGGAAAAGGTAGCATTTATCACAGGATGTCATTGTTCTTAAAAGCCACTGGACAGATGGCTGCTCAAAGAGCTTCTGCAAATGGTTGTTGTTTTTGTTTGTTTGTTTTACTTCTGTTAATTAAAAATGCAGTTCCAATAGCCCCAATTGCTTTAACATGTTACAATGAATAATCTAACATTCAAGGACATATTGCTGTTTGCAACGAGCAATTTCTGTTCAAACTCAAAATCATTACACAACCTTTTTTCATAATTGAGCCAAAAACTTAGAAGAAGAGCTTTTATCTAAAGTACTATTTCTATCTAAAAGAATCCTGATGAGAACCAGCTTATCAAAAGAACTCAGTAAAATGTCTCCTTTGAGACCTGATCATTACCCATGCCTTTATTTGCCTAAACGTTTGACAGGGTTTTCTGAAAGTTGTGTAGGAACAATTAGCTGTCAGGAAAGATCAGCGCCTCATGCACAGGTAGCTCCTTTCTTCCAAGTACTTTAGCATATTCTTTCTTATTCCATTGTTCCCAGTACCCTGCACAAAACCATTATTATACTTGCTGTTACATCTTCTTTAGGCAGAAGAACCTCCTACCACTCAGCTTGTTATCAAGTAGCTGCAATGAACTAGCCAGCAGATTCCTCAACAATCACATAATTTTTCAAATCTCTCCACCCCTACTCCTTTTAAATAAGGAAAAAAAAGATCTAATAATGTTATTGTACTGGTACAAAGATGTTCAAGGACCCAAAGGTTTTAAAAAAGGAAAGTCATCCTCCTCCTGTACTTGGGACTGGTGAGGCCCCACCTTAAGTACTGCTTTCAGTTCATACAAAAAGGACAAAGAGGTGCTGGAGCAGGTCCAAAGAAGGGCAACAAGGCTCGTGAAGGGCTTGGAGAATATGCCTTACAAGGAGCAACTGAAGGAACTGGGACTGTTTAGTATGGGGAAGAGAAGGCTGAGGGGAGTCCTTATTGCTCTTTTCCAATACCTGAAAGTGCTTACTGCAAGAGTGGGGTTGGTCTCTTCTCACTGGTAACAAGACAAGGGAAATGGCCTTGATTTTGAAGGTCTTTTCCAACCTGAGCAATTCTGTGATTCTACACTTCTAAAAAATCTGTATAGGCATCTTCAGCCATCTGTTAGTTTCACCCAGGCTGCCTCAGTTACACTGGAAAAAAGGTTTTTATTTTAGATATCGAGACACTAAAAGTTACAGTACGCATTTATCTTGATATCCTTATAGACTCCTAGGCAACAAGGCAAGATGATTCCATCTCTCTGCTACCTACATCCAAAATATTCTAGCATGCAAATCCCAATCAAATAATACATTGTGATGTCCTTCAAAAAAGAAGAGGTTAAGTTTTTGATGGGGTTTTTCTCAATGTAGACAACAATCATAAAGTCACAGAATCACAAGGTTGGAAACGACCTATAAGATCATCTAGTCCAACTGTCTTCACACTGCCACTGCTACCACAAGCACTAAACCAGATCTCACAGCTCCTCATCGAGATGCCTCCTGAACACTGCCAGGGATGGTGACTCCATCACCTCCCTTGGCAGCCATTCCAGTGCCTGACCATCCTCCGAGAGAAAAAGTTCTTCCTTAAGTCCAACCTAAACCTCCTCTGGTACAACTTGCAGCCATTTCCCCGGGTCCTGTTCGTTGCCTGGGAGAAGAGGCCAAACCCCTCTTCACCACAACCTCCCTTCAGGAAGTTGTAGAGTGCAATGAGGTCTCCCTGAGCCTCCTCATCTCCAGACTAAACAATCCCAGCTCCCTCAGCCGCTCCTCATAAGACTTGTGCTCCAGAGCCCTCACCAGTTTCGTTGCCCTTCTCTGGACACGCTCCAGGGCCTCAATGCCTTTCCTGTAGTGAGGGGCCCAAAACTGAACACAGCACTCGAGGTGCGGCCTCACCAGAACTGAGTACAGGGGGATGATCACCTCCCTGCTCCTGCTGGCCACACTATTTCTAATGCAGGCCAGGATGGCGCTGGCCCTTTTGGCCACCTGGGCACACTGTCGGCTCATGTTCAGCCGAGCATCAACCAACACCCCCAGATCCCTTTCCTCTTCACAATCATCCAGCTACTCGTCCCCAAGCTTATAGCACTGCATGGGGTTGCTGTGGCCAAAGAGAAGGGACTACACAATTCCACCTTACCTCAGTGAAGTACCCAGTAGAATTCACGAATCTCTCAAATTCCTGATTGCTGACCTCATATTGATCCATATAGAAGCTGTTAACATGGACTCTTCTTGCAGGCCACTCTCCATCTTGCTGTATTTCAGGCTCATCAGTGCCCATAGTGAACACTCCTCCTGGAATAGCAACCATCTACAGAGGAAACAGTTAACATCAAAAAGTTATTAAAATGTAAGACTAAAAAGCCTCTTATTGGTTTTACTCCTCCTCTATCTCATCTTTGTAGGTGCCTGTGCTCGGAGCAGCACCTGACAGAAAACAGCACAAGAAAATGACAGCCTTGACATCTCAGTCACCATCTGCTTGAAGGGAACAGTAAGACAGAACTTAAACTGAGAGCAAAAATCCCATTTGTAGCTCTTTCTATGTTTAATCTGGGCAGCGCAGAACTTTCACCCAGGATAAATGAGCAAAAACATGCTTTCCCACTGTATTAAAAGCCAAGAAGCAATACAGAACAGAGATATTTTTACTTATTCTTAGATAAATAGTTTTACATTTTACTCAATTCCTAGGAAGACTGGAAAAAGAAACTTGAGATTACTGAACTGTCAAGCATTTTTCTGAGGACAAGCACAGCATGCATGTTTGCATACCAACTTCTTATGGGCCTTCATTTCACAAGAGGCACTTACAGCATTTGATCATTAGTCACACTGCTAGCAGGCAGGCAGCGCCTGCAGCAACATGGGCCAAAGAGAAGACACAGCTTCACATCAGTATATTCCACTCTGGATGACTGCCCTTCCCGAATAAAGAACAAAAGCAAAAGAACTGCTTCAATAAAGTGTCTTTCAGCCATTTTCCAGGGAAACAAAATTTCCTTCCACTTTCCTCAGAAGATAAAGGCCTCAGAGGTCTTGTCCCAATGCAGCATGTCTTTCCCAAGACCCCCCAGAGGACCACAGGTGGATCAAGCTATTTCTTGCCCAACAGCCATTCCCACAATACACAATAGCACTCCCAGTCCCATTCAGAAGCCTTTGTTAGAATTACAAGTGACTGCTCTGTAATACCTCCCCAGGCAACGTTTGGAGGACTGATGCTACCAGGAGGCAGCTTGCCAAGACACTGCCCAACTCATCAACACAGGAATGCATTAGGGAGGAATTATCTGTCTGCTTTTTTTTTCCTCCAGCATTCCCAAGTTCTTCTTTCATTTAGGTCTCACCCAACAACACTTAAATTCACATAACTTGCAGCAGGGTTACGAGAAGCACTACAAATACTTTTCCTTTGAATCAGCTACATTTAAAGCTAACTGTGTCCTCATTTACACTTCTTCACTACAAAGGATCTGAGCACTTACAGATAGCCTGTAAAAGAATCCATAAAAGGGCTTCAGGATAAATCTGCTTACATTTTTTAGGCCTTTGGGAATGACAACATGGAACAGAGTTCACCACTTCCTTCTAACCTCTTTCCAATGCACTGTAGCTAAAATAGTCTTCAAAGCAAGACTGAAATCTCACCAGTGAATCACTGTCTGAAAGCACCTGAAATATTAACTCATTCTTTACAATCGAGAACTCATTTTCCAAACCTGAAAAATCCTGACAGACTGCCCATCCAAGACTGACATCCATGAATATTGATTCCATAGAACTAGCAGCCTCTAGGAAGGCACATTTCACAGCTCCACCTCCTGTTTGGAAACAGGACCTTCCCTTGTCAGCTTTATGATAACATCAGCACATTTGGTGTTAACACAGGCTGCAGGGCTCAGATGTCTGGCAGCATTCTTCTGCAAAGAACGGTGGAATGTGGCATTACATGTTTCTGCAGCAATATCGCACCCAGAAAGAACACCTATAACATTAATTAAGCCGTTAACAAACATCCAGCTTTGAAGCACAGGAAGCTAAAGCCAAGGAACTAATCCCTAAGAAGCATCACAGCTGAACTACCGAAGCAGAAATCCAACAGCAGAGGCCGACAAACATCATCCACTGTGCCGGGCAGTCAGAGATTGTTAGCCTTATGACGAGGCCCACAGTGAAACGCCAAGATCCGTTCCCTTCAACACTCCGTTTCCCATAACCGACCACGTCTCACGGAGCAGGGCACTGGATGTTAGCAGACCGGATATCAGGAACAATTTCTTCTCCAAAGAGCAGTGACGCCCTGCACAGACTGCCCGGGGAGCGGAGGGGTCACCATCCCTGGTGATGTTCAGAACGGTGGAGATGAGGCAGTGCGGGACGTGGTTCCCGGGGCTCGGTGCGGGCGCGGTCGGACAACAGACGCCCTGAGAACGCGGCTCCTCGCCTCCCGCCCTCCCCTCGGAGAGCACCCAGGTTCCCGCCCCAGCCGCCGCCCGCCACTCACCGCCCCGTGCCCAGAACTCCCGCCGCCGTTGGCCGCCGCCGAGTATCGCCGCGCCGCTGCCTCTCGCTCATCCCCACGGCCGCGACTAGCGCCGCAGCCGCAGTTCCCGCCGGGAGCCGCCTCCTTCACGGCGCCAGCTGTCACCGCCAGCCCCGCACCCAACAGCAGGAACAAGCGGCGGAGCGCTGCGGGCGCAGCCATGTTGGTGGGAAGACCACGTGCTAGCCGTGGTCACGTGATCGCCCGCCTCTTAAAGGGGCAGCGGCGCCCACCGAGCTCCTACTGCCCCTCAGCGGGGTCCGTTACCTGTAGAGGAGCTGCCGCAGAGAAGCTGGAGGTGGAGGGCGCCAGCAGCACGGAGATGCCATAAATGGCAGAGACTTCGACAGGTTCGGGTGTAAGGCTCCAGTGTGCTGCGTTTAGTCTGAATGAGTTCAGCAGCAAAGTGGAAGTGCACGGAGCCTTCTACTGAGCGTGCCTGCATCTCCTCGTTAACGGGAGGCGGTGCAAGTGAGCATCATCTCAGAATAAGGGCTGAGGAAAAAGTAAAAAAATGTTACATTGCCTGGGCTCGTGTGTTTGTGTCCCTGACCTGGGACTTGGATGTTTCATGCTTAAAAATGGATTTTACCAAGTGTGGTACAAGAAGTCTTTGTGGCAAGAACACTACTGTGAACCGGAGGGGGAAAGGGAGGAACCAACTTTTCTTTCCAAGTGAACATCAAACCCTGTTGTTGCAGTCCTTGGGCTCTTTTTGCAGGTGCTGGGTGCAAATGGCAACATGCTAATGTGCAAGCTGAGTGGGTCAGGAATGGAAAAATACTTTATGGATGCATAACAGCCTCCTACTTTGCCCTTGGGAGAGGCAGCAATTTGCTGCTAGTAGCAAGATATAAATTGCCACCCCACTCTGTGCCAGCTCGGCTGGCTGGGACTTTGCAATCAGAGCAGCAGCAATTCCCACTCACCGTCCCTCTGCTAAGAAGCTGGGGGAGCAGCAGGTGCACACAGCTGCCTTCCTGTGTGCCATAAATCCACAGTCCTGCTTTGGTATCCCCCTGTGTGCACTGCACAGGGAAGGCATGGATCCTGAGGCGGATCCTGAACCGGTCGGATGGTGATGGACTTGTCTCAGTTCTGAACTTTCTGCACCTTCTGCATCAGAGAACAGCACCTTGTTTTCTTCAGTTTTTCCTGTAGATCACTGCAGCTCTTGAAGATTTTGGTGTCTAACATGAAAATCTTTACTTTGTGTGGAAATTTCTGTTCAGGACCATCAGCAGAATGTATCCACTGGGTCCTCCACTACACTGAGGGAAATCTTTACTCATTATGTGGGATGTTAATTGCATATATTTAATATCATTTTCCTCATACAGGTGGGGACTACGCAGCAAAAAGCATGGCTAGATAGAAGGCTCTCTTAGTTTGTTTTCTTTTGTATCTGTACAAAGGAGCACTACTTAATTCTATTGGCCCTATGAAATTTTATTGTGTGCTAAAATGACAGTGCTGGGAGTCTTCACAGGCATGCATTCCAATTATCTATCATTAGTCCCTTTTGCCCTGTGACGTACTCAGAAAATCAGCAGAGTGCAGGAAAATAAAAGCATACAAATTTAATTATAAAATCAAGTCACCCTTGCTGCTTCAGGGTCAGAAACCATAAACATTCCTTTTATGCAGAAACAGTGATCCTATCCCCACGCAGCAACAGATCTATGAAAGTGCAAAGTAATTATAACTTATTTTCTCCTTTCAAATTTCCAAAGCAATTTACTGAAATGGCAGCAAAATCTAGGTATCCAAATTCTACTGTCTTCTGGAACTCAAAGCAGTCTGCTAAGGTAACTTGCCCTTATTAAAGCCGTGGGATTCTGGCTGTGTCAAAACCAGCTCAATTCCATCAGCTAGGGCAGTTTTCTGATGTATCATGCCTACTTGTTCTCATCGCCTGTTTTCCTAGAATTCTTTTCTGCCTTGTTTCTGTACTTCCATCGGCAAGATTTATATTCTTGTGTTCTCTCAGGAGACTAAATGAAGCAATGGCAATGACAGTTTGATTCTGAATAGCATCCAACTTTCAGCTTCTAATCCGGAGGACTTCTGAGAACTTTTATTGGTGTCATTTACCCATCATCTTTGCGCTCCGAAGTCATTACTTCACAGGCAGCTAATCTCTTCTGCACAGGGTTTAATTATTCTCTCTGCTCTCACTGATTACACTGTGCTCCAGAATTAAGACACTGGTTTCACTGTTATTTAAAATATTACAGAAATAGGACTTTTCAGCACTTAGCTGAAAAGCTGAGGTGTTGCCTAGCATTCCTCTGTGTTGCTAATGTTTTTCATCTCCTACTGCTGCAGTGCTAGCATAGAAGACTCTTACTGGAAGCTTTTGTGATCATCTATCTCATCATGGAGACAGGTCACGTGCAAATTAGCCTGTTTGATCCCTGCAGTCCTGGTGGCTGCCTGAAATATCTTCTGTTCCTCTTCTTCTTCCCTGGCTGCTGCTTGTGCAGCTGAAACAACAGCAGAGGAAGAAGTACGCAAACCAACTCAGCAGCCTGGAGTGTTTTCTGACTGAAATAGTCCAAGCAAGTCAACAATTAATTGTAGATTAGGCAGCATTAAAAGAAAAAATTAAAAATCACATACACAAACAACAAAACACTGCTTGCAAGGTGTTTTCTTGTGACAGAAATCACATAGATGGTTGGGATGAACATCCGTATTACAGCACCCTTAAAATTAAGGTGGTGTCTACTACTTAGTCTTTTTTTCAGTATTTCCTCCCTGAATTCTTGAACAGTTTTGGCTCCTTGGACCCTTTTTTGTATTTATACACAACCTAAGCCCAGCCTCTTGTTTGCTGGTGATCTGATAGGATTCTATTTCTTATCTCTCCATACTCCACAGCACTTTTGAGTTTGAATTCTGTCATTTCCAGGCTGCCCTACCATTTTATCTGTTCTTAAAGCTGTAAGATTATAGGAGTCTTCTAAACTCACTGCGCTTGCAACAGCATCTCAAAGAGAAATGGAAACTTTTCTTGTGTTGGAAATGTCTGTGATTATCTTCCCAATATCCCTTCAAATCTAGCAGGTTCTTTGCATGACTTGGTCAGTATTTGTGGCTGAAGGGCCTTCATTGGTACATCCTCTACAGTCACTGAAGAACTGACCCAGCAAAGGTGTTCTGTGAGAGAAAACGTAGCCTCTGACATTCCAGAGAGGCTGCAGAAGGAGCAGGAGATTGACAACGACTGCTGCAGGAGAAGCAAAGAGGGGTGCCTGTAACACTTTAGACACCAAACTGGTGATTTGCAGACTGGGATGGAGCAGAACATCCACAGGTCACCCCTGCTGTCTCCTGTGCACACCAGCTTCACGCTGGCAGGCTCTGTGGGAATCCCCCCAGACTCGGCTTTTTTTACATGCAACTCCTCATATACTGTTGCTGCTCTTCTGTGCACCAAGAACAGAGTTCTGCACGCTGATAGCAACAGGCACAGCTCCTCATGTTGGCTGCAATGACTGTCCTTCCACTGCTGCCCAAAGCACTGTGCCTACACGCACCCGGCGTTCCGGCCCTTGCCTGCCTTGGCTGCTGAGCTCTGCCAGAGATTAGATTTGATTACATGGGAATTCATTAGGATTACCTAACGATATTAGGCACCATTACTCTGCCAAATTTCTGATGAGTAACGGCTTTGTAGTACCGCAGCCAGGGATGGGAACAGCGCAGCTCCGCCGCCGACCTCTGCTTCAGTTTCTAAGCGGCAGATCTCAGCTTTGCACATTCGTGCTTAGCAGCACCGTTATGACTTCTTCACGGCATTTCGGTGCAGGAGCAGCACGCTGGGCAGCGCGTTGGCAGCCCTGACCAGGCCTGCTCCTGCAGCTCCAGGGCAGCAGGCCTGGCAGTGGGCATCACACTGCCACACTGCCTGAGGTGACCAAGGCCGGGCACTGCACACTGCCTGAGGTGACCAAGGCCGCAGGTGGGTGCGGGGACATTTCCCACCCCGCAGTGCCACAGCTGAGCTCTGGACGTTCCTGCCTGTACCCCACAGCAGGCAGAAAATTGCTGTGTGACCACGAACCACATCTCCAGAGGAATATTTTGAGAACAAATAGTTGTATTTACAATAAACAAAAGCGAGCATCGCTTATTCAGCACTGCTGCTCCCTGCTCTCAGTAGCGGTGTCGGCCCGTGGCGCTGACACGGACCCCAGCCTGGCAGAGCGCTCCCTGAGGTAACTCCGCGGCGGGCCCGCGCTCCCGGCCCGGCTGTGGGCGCGGCGCGGTGCACGCTGGGAGCCGTAGTCCCGTCAGGGCGCTGCCCGCCTCCAGCGCACGGCGCGCGGCGCGGCCGGGACTCCGCTACCCAGAATGCCCCGCGCGACTATATAAGGCGCGGCGGCGCGCTCGGGGCGCAGTAACCATGTGGATGCGTGGCTGAGGCGGCGGCAGCTCGGCGCAGCCTTCATCCTAACGGAGCGGGCAGCGCCGCCGGCCAGCATGGGGCTGCACCGCTAGCCCGCCCCGCGCACCGCAGCCAGGTAGGGATGGGGGGAGGCTGCGGGCGGGGGAGGGCAGCGGGTCCGGCGGGAGATAGCGCTGCGGGTGGGAGAACGCGGCTCTCGCCGCCCGGATCCGCGGTGTGGGCAGCGTGCGGGGCAGCGCGCGGGGCCGCCGTGCGGTTCGGCCGTTAGCAGCGCCGTGCCCGTGCGGGCGCTCCTCGGGGTGCCGTTCGGGCTCCTCGCTCTGCCGCTGCCCCGGGGCGCCCGGACCCCCCGGCCCCGCAGTGCTGTCCCGGCCCGAAGGCCCCGAGCTGCGCTGCCCGGCCGCGTGCGGGCTGTGAGCTGCCGAGCCCGAGCCTTCCCGGCCGAAGTTACTCCGCGCTCGGGCACCGCGCTGCTCCCGTGCTGCGATGTGAGCCCGTGTCCTCGCACGGCGCTGCGGGCCCTCAGTGCCCCGCGGTTCTGAGTGGTAACGGGCCGCCGGCTGACCGCCGCGGGAAGCGGCGCGGCTGTAACGGGGCGCTTTGGAGCGAGCCGGGACTCCGGACCCAGGGGGACGTGGGGCGGGCGGAGCGGGGCCGGAGGAGACCGCGGTGATGGAGGAGAACCTCCGCTGAGAGCTGGGGAGGGCAGCCCGGGGAACAGAAGGCTCCGGGAGTCCTCGCTGCGGCCTTCCGCCACCTGAAGGGAGCCGATGAACGGGAGAGCGACTTTGTGCGTGGTGTGTTAGCGGTGGGACGTGGGGAGTGGTTTTAAACTGTGACGGGGAGATTTAGATTGGATATGCGGGGACAGTTGTTGCAGTGAGGTCCCGGCGGTGCTGCACCATCCCTGGAGGGACCCTGGGCTGCCTGAGCTGGGGGCGGCCAAAACCGGAGGGATTGGGGCTGGGAGGCTTTGAGGGCCCTTCCAACCCAACCGTTCTGTGGTTCTGTGATAAGCAGATGTCAAACCCAGCAACTTGTAACGGTGTGAATGGGCACTGATTGGTGTGCGTACACAAAAAGGAGTCATTGTGAGTATAAAAAACACAAACAATTCCGTTGTTTTTCCAAACAAGTTGTTACAGGAGTGCTGCGCTGTAGAACTGTTTATCTAGCTAATTACTTTTAATGCTTTTTAGCCTTTTTTTTTTTGTCAATAGTGTTTTTTTTTTTCTTGTTAAAACACCTTGTTCTGCCCTGAGACCGAAGGCTTTGCCCAGCTGTGTTTCCCCTGCTCCCACCTGCTTGTTTTGCAGTGTTCATTAAGCCTTGAAATAGGGAACTGGGTTTTCTCTTAGAGTGGTTCATAAATTAGGAACTAAACCAGCAGAGTAACCCTCATTTGCCTTTGCAGTTGTGGGGTGGAGCTTAACTGTGGGAAATTGTCTTCTAAGATTTGCTGGCCATGAGCAGCAGCATTGGAGCGTGGAGAGCATGAGGGTGCACAAGTGGCTGGAGCCTTTGGTAGTGGCTGTTGGAGCTACAGGTGTGAGGAAGGGCACCCAGCATGAGTCCCTGGTTGTAAATGGAGGAGAGGAAGTCGGTGGGATCTTATGGCACTGCACTGTGGAGGTGGATGCTATTGAAGCCAAACCTGTGTTTCAGTGCTGTGTAAAACAGGACCCAGACGTGCAGAGCCCTGTTGTGTCATCTTGTTCTGCCCTTTGGATGGAGCAGTCAGTGAGCTGACTGTGCTGCTCCCTGGTGATGCTGTGCAAGGTCCTTAGTGCATGGTGTTCAGTGCAACAAGTGGCAAAGCTGCTTGTAATGGGACCTGCGGTGCTGTAAGGCTGTAGCTGTGAGGGCAGCTGTGGTTGTAGGGCCGTGCCTTGTGGCAGGAGGGATGCAGGACCCCATGGGGGGGTGGAAGGGAAGCAGCTCACAAAGCAGCTTAGGGAGATCGAAGGGGCTTAGAGCTGGGAATGGTGTGCTGGGAGAAAGTTATGTAAATGCAGCAGTTCTGTCATAGCATGGCTGTGATATTAATCTGGGTACATAAATATCTTCCTTAGGGAATGTTCCAAATGAGTTTCTGTTTCTTGACGTAGTACTTTCACTTATTCCTATTGCTCCAGTAGCTTTTTATTGTGTAATAGCGTGGAAGATGAGTGGGGAAAACATTGAGCAGTTCTGTACAGCCCCTGTATTGAGCCTGAGTGCACAGAGGTGCTGATTTACAGGTGGTGTAAGGCAGGGAACTCCAAAGCCCATTGGCAGATCCTATCCGTGTCTGTGGTGACTCAGAGTGGTTCCATCATGCATCTCCTGTTCGGGAAACTGTAGCTCCAACTGGAGCAAAGCTGCAGAATTCAGCTGTGTGTTCTGAACTCGGAAGCGCTTCTTATTCCTATCTGTGGTTTTGGTGAAGCCTATCAAAACTTGCATGAGAACCAACTTATTTTTCCTTCCTGACGCTGCTGTATAGTGAGAAAAAAAGTCATCGTAGACCTGGGCAAGTTAACCCTGTAGGGAGAAAAAAGTTTGAGAAGTGTGTGGAAGCAGGCGTTCCTTTGCTGGCATACAGCTTGCAGCAGTGTGACTCTGTCCCTGTGTGCCAGAACACTCCTGGAGGGGTGGAGCAGGGAGCTCAGTTTGTGCTTCTCCCATCACTGCTGCACAGATCAGCAAGGGCTGGTAAAAGGCTCTGAGAAACGAATTTTTGGATTAGGATGTTACAGCGTTCCTGCTGTTGGAGTAACGTGATACTGAGTTATAGGGAAGGAGGCCTGGATGCCGAATCCGGATGCAATGATGTGTACTTAAAGGATTCATTGCTCTCCTCATCCTTGCCCTGTGCAGGGTGTGTGAAGGCAGAAGGCAGTGATCTCTGTCCATGTACATGCAAGAAATTTGATCACAGTAGGCTGAAAATGTATGCTGCCAGAGGGCTGTGGCTTTTTTTTTAATAATTTCTGGGAATTGCTTAGTAGCAGTTTAGTATGAAAGTTCAACAAATATTTGGTTTGCATCCTGGCAAACTTTCCTCCTCTTGAAAAATTCAGAAATCTGCCAGGAAGTTCTGAAGAAAGAAGTGTTAATTGTAGTATTGTGGTGTCTGTGCCCTGTCTGCAGCCCATGCAGGCACAGGGGCAGAT